CTTTATATGTTACGTACCCCCCAAAGCTACCACTATCAGCACCGTGACTGGTACTGTACTGCTCGCTGCTTGCTGCAACTCAGACACCAACAAACAAACAAACAAACAAAGAAAGACAAAACGCGTTCCATCTTTCTTATTATCCCTCAGTCTTATCTCGTTCTGCTCATTGCTTTTATTACTTAAAATTGGGTCATTTAGTTTTTGCTACTCGGCTCTTTTTTTAATGGTTGTGTAACAACACTACCTCCACTATGTTTTGGTTGTTAGTTTGGTTTTTAAATGCAATTTAAAATAGGAATGGAGAAAAATTAAAATGTTTTAATATTTTTAATAAATTCATATTATAAGATAGATTCATTCTAAATATTTAAATAATTTTAAATATAATCTTAAGGTTTGAACAATAAAACATTATGATTTTTACCTTTTTCTTTAAAATTAATACTTTTATATAGCATATAATGAAGATGTATGATGCAATTCAACATGTGCTAGACCGTACAATTAAATTTAATTATTGACAAAAAAGAATTCTTAGAATGAAGAATCATTTTCTCCTTAATCAATAGTATATTGCGTTTGACTATAAATAAAAAGATTCCATATAAGTAGCTGTAAAATTTAGACAAAACCTACACATGGTATGACTATGTTCATGAGGGATATAATGAGATGAGGAAAGCATTTAAAGAGTTAAAAAAATTGAGGACCTAGTTGCTCCATTTTAAAGGTTAAGGACAATCTTGTAAAAAACTAAAAAGGTTGGGACTATTTCGCATATTATGGAGAGGGGGAGAAAGAATTAGGGCAACCCAAGAAAAGTTACAAAAGTACAAATCCCAATATTAACTAACTCCGTGAGTCACAAGATTGGAATTTGTAATTGGAAGGGCATTAGCTAGCCATTCCGTCGACCTAATGACTAATGCCCTGCACTTACGATATTTTCAACTCCCATTTTTGATAAAACCCACAGATATCGAACTACCAGTAATAAAATTAACCTACTCCTCTTGTGCCACTGTATACTCTTTTTTTTTTTTTTCTCACTGTTCATTACTTAGGTTTTTATATTTGCAAAAACAAAAAACTGTTTATTAAGCCAATCATATTACCACGATTCACAACACGCCAACACTTTTCACTCCCTGTAACTACAGATCTAGCATGCATTCTCTTCAAAATTTCCTCCGGCACATAGATGAGTGAACTGACACTAACTGCTAAAGTCAATTGATATATCTTTTGGCATTTTCCCCTTAATCCACGCAAAAGAACTCAATGAGAGTGTGATGGCACGTACAGTGGAAAGAGAAGAACGAGGCATGCCAATGCCATGAAGTCTCTATCAAAGACAAACAAATATTGGGGGGGAAGAGTGCATGTGATGAGTCAAAAATTAGCGCAAAAGATTTGGTTGCCTCCTTTCCGTTTAACATTCCACAGATACTGAGATATATCCAACCTCAGGCAAAGTGCACTCTTCTCATCACTTCCACTGCGGTTTCGGGGCCCTACCACTCCTTGTTTCTGAGGGACCGGCCCCTCAAATTAGGGTTTGGTCCCAGCAGCTTCAAAACTGCTCATCACATCTACAGTACTACAGTGACAATATCACCCTATGGCAATACTTGTAAAGCCTTTTTCTTCAAAACTGCTCATCACATCTAAAGCCTTTTTCTTCTTCTTCTTCTATTTTTTTTTTTCTTTTTTCATGTTAAGAGATTCACGTTCTTTTTGGGTTCTCATCTCTATCCAATACCCATATAGGCTTTTCTATCATAAGTTCCAAGAGAAATTTAATGCACCGGTAAGTAAGGGTAATGAGAATTAATTTCATTTTGCAGATTGACATGTTTTTCAGCCAATTTGGACAAAAAAATTCTTAGAGCTCACATTTTAATGTAGAATAAATGTAAAAGTACATATAAATGTACCTTAATTTGTGTCCTTATAACACAAAATATATAGAAGAACATCATTTTTATTTTAAAATTTTTTTAACATGTACCATAAGGGTAAGGGCACATGTTAATTGTGCATTTCCATTGCACTTTTTTATTATGAATTTATATAGAAAAAATAAAAATTTAATTTAATTTTATCAATGATTCAATTAAAGTACTCTTTGTGACATTAATGTTGAAAATAAAGTTTACTTTTGTAATTTTTTATATAAATCAATGGTGAAAGATGCATAAATACACTCTTAACTTATATCTTAAAACTTTTTATTTTATTATAAATTTTTTGAACTTGTATGGTGCTAAGGTGTAATAAGTGCACTCTTTTATAATTAATTAATTTGCATGAAAATTCACACAAGTTTACCTTTCTTTTAATGCCATTGTCATTTGAATAAATTTAATTAGCTAATTGATTAAATTAAAATTCAACATTTATATTTTTCATACAAATTAATTATAAAAATATACAATAAATGCACTATTAACCTATGTTCTAAGGGCACAAAATACAAAAATCATTTCATTGTATAAAACAAATTGATAGGGGTCCAATAAGCCGTTGGTTAATTAGGTAGTTGATGAAGTTGTAAATATTTCCTAACTTTAAGTAGAGTTTGAATCCCCTAAATTAAGAAAAAAGCAAAAGAAAAGGGAGGTAAGAAAATTGTGAATGCTCTGATTGAGGGTAACTGCAAATGATAAGGTGACCCAAAAGGCATCTTTACTATTGAAGTAAAGAAACGTCACGGGCTGAAAAATAATATGAGCACTATTACGGGGGCAGTTTGACTCTCCCGAGCTTTGACAGTGAAATCTTTGAGGTGTATTCAGGGCCTATTGCTTTGTCAAGATGAAGATGATATATATATATATATATATATATATGAGTACAAATACAACAAGGCATTTAAGTGAATTAGGCACTGAAATGATAAAAAGATAGGTGGTCCAAATGCATTTTGGAGCTTCATTTTAGTGTGGGGGTCACTTTTCTTAAAAATGATGCCAAATCAATTGATGTATGTTTTCTGTTCATAATTAATTAAACGTCCACACAAACGCACAAACATAAGCTTAGTGTGCAGTTAGTACGAAATAACAACAAAATCTTGATTTTAGTTAAGATTAAAATTTAAATCTTTGTAATACTGTATACAAAAATTAATTTAAAAATATCTAACAACAAATAGCAACAGGAAAACAAAAAAAAACCCTCACTATAGTAAGCTGCTAAACCCTTAATATAACCAACAATAGTTAATTACACTTGTAAATTTCAAAAACCCTAAAAATTGTCAAATTTTAATGGTTCCTAAAATAGTCCTAGTGATTTTTGAGAAAAGTACTTCACCCTAAATTAGTAGCATTTGCTATGGTTAATTATCCAGTGCTAAAAAAAGCACAGAAAAAGAGCATGACATCACCCACCACAAAAAAAAAAAAAAAAAAAAAAAAAAAAAAAAAAAAACAACAACAAAAATTTAAGGCATGAGATTGTAGACTACTATCAATGGTTCTCAATTAAATTCTGATAACTAAAATTTTTTGGATTTTTTCCCCTTGTTTGGCATAGAATTGTAGCCTGTGGCGTTGGATATCAATTAATGAAGCCTAAGGACCTTTAGATATTACAGATTCGACTCTTGCAAAAGTGCATTTTTTATTCAAATTATTGTAGTTTTCCTTTTATTTGTTAAAATATATGGTTCTGATTTGTTCATTGTTGATTACTATGTACTTGAATATATATATTTTTCAAAAAAGCTGGAATTTCAGTTGTCGTGTATTGATATTAATTAAACAGGAGCTGCTTTGCTTGAATGAGACGGTGGCTATCTATATCTGTTCTTTAACAGAAATTTTAATGGGTGGCATTTCTTTGGTTAATGCAGTTAATACCCATATGACTTTTGGGGCTGTGATTTATTTTATCCCCACGCTAGATACATAAACCCTATAAGTAATGGCATTAGGGATCATTGACTTGCTCGACTTTGGTGCCTAATTCACTTAATTAGATTTAGATGCACTATAATGGACATATTATGGTGATGTGGACAACTATGTACTTTGCTTGTAACAGAAGCTAATTGTGACGCTGCAAGGACTACAGGAGTGGTCAACCAATACATGAGAAAGCAGAGTTGCTGTGCTTCAATTATTATTTTAGGCTTATTTCTGGTAATCACCTCATGAACTAGCTAATTCTTTTGGCTCTTTGCAACTAGTCGTACGAGCTGATATTTGCTCAACTAACTTAATAAATGAAGCAAATTGCTTAAACAACTCCACACAAAAGAATCAGGAATAATGTACACAATAATTTTACTTTTACGACAAGAAAATGTATATTTGATTTAAAAGAGACAAGAAAATGTATATTTGATTTAAAAGAAACAAACAAAAGAGAAGGAGGAAAGATAGATTTTTTTTATTTATTAAGTTATAATATTAACTAACATTATAGTTTAATGGATTATTCATCACTTCCATCAGTTGTAGTCAAACATACTCTAAGTTGGAGGGTTCTTAAACATTCAAATAAGACTGGTGTGGTGGAATTGAGAAAGGGAGCGAAAAAATACCTCTCTCTCTGTTTGTTTGTTTGTTTTTTTTTTTTTTTTTTTTTTTTTTGACAAAAGTAATGGTTAGTAATTAAGTTAAAAACTATTAATAACTGGGGATTTAATCCCCAAAACAAGTAAT